GTGCAGTTTTTGTTTCGACACTGTAGCAATGGCAGGCTACACAGTTTATAGAAGCTGCAGAAGCAGCAAGCTTGCTATAGCAGTTGGCAGAAGCTCTTCCAGGATCTCATGGTGCCCCTTTCTCAGGTGCTGGTTCGATGGCTAGTGCTTTGCAAATATGGTTCAGGCATTGGTAATGCCAGGAGTTAGCTCCTATCAGTACACATCTGTGACATGAGTTCTTTGAAACTTGTCAGATAGGAAAGTTCTTCACAGCTGAACCTCAGCATATTCCGTGGGTATTAATGGCTTTCTTAGATCACAGGGGTCTGTAACACTGTCGTACAAAAGCGCACAGCACAACTGCTTAGCAGTTCTTTAGATCTGTCAGATCTCTCAAGAAACAATGAATCCTTTCATTGAGGATATTCTCAATAGAATACAAGACTTATCAGGGCTTTCTCCACAGAGAATGGTTAGCAGTCCTTATCAAAGAACAATAACCAACTATTTGTTTAGGAGACAGCTGGAGTACTGATTATTGATAGCAAACACCCATCAAAAAGGAAGCAAGCATTAATTGAGGAATCCGTGGATGCCACTGATGGAAAAGTTTACATTTCTGTTAGAAACACCAATGCTGACAGCAGATGGAGAAAGGCAGGCATCCACAACAGACTGCCTCAACTATGCTGCTGGACTTGCCAGAGCAACAAGCAACCTGGGACACAGCGTGGCTGTTCCGAGGCTCTGCGCTGTTTACAGACGTTCTCATCAGCCCTTAGCCGTGCCTTGTAGAGGATATGCTCAGAAGCGGCGTTCCCACGTTCCTTCATCTCATGATAACTTGCCTGGAGGAAGAAGTCCTTCTGTTCCTCCTGTCTGCTCAGACACATGCTCAAAGACTATGAAGGAAGAGACCCCCAGGAACTCATTCCTTTTATCAAGCAGATCACAGCCAAGCCTAAGACATCAGCATCCCCGTTGTCTGACAGATGCTCATGCCTCTGCTCATGCAGTTGCTGAATAACTGCTCTGAGCAGCAGAAGAAAATAACCAGTCTGCTGTTAAGAAAGGCAGATGCTGCGGAGGAGTTACTTTGCTTCCCTTCAGTCAGTCACAGGCAGTGGAATGAGTGACACCACAAAAAGGTACAGAGAACAGACAATGAGTGCTGGTTACTGTCTCACAGGAGCAGCTGAATAGCCAGATCCAAGTACACAAAATGGGTTTTGTCCTCCAAAGTTAAGAACCTCAGGGAGAATGGGAGGGAACATGGGATTTCTTGCTCCTGTTTACAACAGCATTGCCCCCATGTGGTTCCCAGAACCTTTGAAACACATCTCAGTCCTGGCAGGTGCACAAATAGTACTGGCTTATGTGGGCACACGGCGAGGACAGTGCATCTCAGATGCAGCCCACAATGCACTCAGGAAGCCTGCCCTCCTCGCAGGCTGCCCAGAAATGATTTAGGACTTTTGTCAAGTGCTTCAGCAGCCTGAGCCTAAAGTTTTACAAGAATTATTTAAAGGTACTCTTCCAGGGAGGAAACCCTAAGGACTGCATCTCCTTGGGTCTACTTCACAATGAGAATTCCAGTTAATAATTTATGGGGGAAAAAAAAAGGCAATTTTTGTGTGCCATTCACACTAGTATTTTTAACACTGCTTTGGGCTTACTGCAGTACACATACTGGGGATTTTCTGATATGAGGTCAGCTGCACCCATGGACACAGACCCCACGGAGAAGCAGAAGGGCTACTTGCACTTAGCTTTTACAGAATTATAAAAATCAAATTTATTCCAAGCTGTAAGCACTTGGTAGACCACAAACAACAAAAGAAGAACATGGGAGAAGGTTTGTTACAGGGTATTTTAAAAAGCACACATGGTTTTTAAAATAACTTTAAAAAGCAGATGAGTCTAACGGCCACACCATCATGGAGCCAGTGGACTGAAAGAGGCCAGCAGGATGCCAGCCGATTACAGCTGATTAGAGAGTAAACTGAAGTTCACAGCGATGACCCCAGGCCAGCAAGCAGTGGCTAAGTTCACAAGACCATACTCTGATCTAAGGTCAAGTCTGCAACACCTTTTAGAAGTCTCCACACACAATAGTTTCACTATACCATACCATTTTCATTCTTAAAAGAATAAATCAGCAGCTTTCCAAAACACCTTTCACCATGATTTCTACATAGCCAATACTTCCCCACAATAAATTTCAAACTTTACTAAAAATTCACAATGATTTATATTTCACAAGTTGTACAATAACTATAAAAACATTTGTTAAATTTTTAATGTAAATTCTTAAAATAAAGCAAATCCCACCGAAAACATACACTCTGATAACAGTGAATAAATCAAAAGCAACAATTTAACATGGCAGAGAATGCTTAACTTAGGAACATAATGAAGGTTAGTTTTGGGTGTTTGTTTTGGAGATGGAGTCTCGTCCTGTTGCCCAGGCTGCAGTGCAGTGGCGCAATCTTGGCTCACCGCAACCTCTGCCTCCCGAGTTCAAGTGATTCTCCTGCCTTAGCCTCCTGAGTAGCTGGGATTATAGGCCCACACCACCAAACCCAGCTAATTTTTGTATTTTTAGTAGAGACGGGCTTTCACTATGTTAATCAGGCTGGTCTTGAACTCCTGACCTTGTGATCCGCCCACCTCAGCCTCCCAATGTGCTGGGATTACAGGGGCTAGCCACCGCGGCCAGCATCAAGGTTAGTTATAAGTAATTAACATTATGACTTATGAGATAAGAAGAGCTTTCCTCATGGTCTTTCTAAGATATCAAATGATATTCTGTCCTTGGAGAGGTATTTTCAGATACAATCACTATGTTAAAACAGCACTGGTCATTGAAAAGTTTTAATTAAAAGGAGTATCTTCATATACAAACATGTCCCCAGGCTAAGTGTGGTACCTCATGCCTATAATCCCAGAATTTTGGAAGTCTGGAGCAAGAGGATCACTTGAGGCCAGAAGTTCAAGACCAGCCTGGGCAACAGTGCAAGAGCTCAGCTTTACAAAAAAAAAGTGTTTTTCACTAGCCATGCGTGGTGGCACAGGCCTGCAGTCCCAGCTACTTGGGAGGTTGAGGCAGGAGGATTGCTTGAGCGTAGGAGTTCAAGGCTACAGTGAGCTATGATCCCACCACTGTACTCCAGCCTGGACAACAGAGCAAGACCCAATCTCAAAAAAAAAAAAAAAAAGTCCCCAATGGTTTTCTCATCACCATAAATGTGATGGGAAATTATTAGAGCGGCATGCACTTGCTCAGTAGTACATGTGTATTGAATTTATTCAAGTAGCCCAGAAATTACACCATTGTTAGTTACCAACTCTGTAAACACAGCACTCCAAACGAGAACACCGTACAAGGAGGTTTCTAGCAATTCCATTTGGAATTCCCTGGCTAGCACTCGGCGCAGGGAGAACGCTGCTTCCAGCACACGTGGCCGAAGGTCTGGAAGAAGCATCACAGGGCAACGCTCACCTGCCCGGTTTAAGGGCCATGACTATGTGGTGCTTTCGGGAAGGAGAAGGTCTGACATGGCTCCTCACTCAGCGGCTGGCTGCCGTGTGAAGCATCTCTGATTCAGCACGATAACTAGAGACAGTGGCCTACAAAGCTCAGGCGGGCACTCACACACAGGCCGTAAATCTGCATCAGATTATCAGGAACACATAACACCTGTAACCTGGAAGGCCACCACACAGCTAATCAAAACACGTGGAAATGGCTCCTGTTTTTCCTTTCTTGCCCTGCTCAATACCAGGAAACTGCGGGAGAAACTGCTTAGATTCCAGCATCCAGGTTTTCACTGAGGGAAAAGAAGGCCAGATAACAGGAGAAGAAGAGCAGGGCTAGTATTGTGTGATTTGAGAAAGAAGAACTTGATGTTATGAGAAAATGTATTCAAGGAAAGATGTGTTCACACAAATGGCAATGTTATTCCATGCTTTGCAGCAAGAATGCACTTGCTCCCCAAGACACCTGGAAAAGGTTTTTATGGGAACAGTTTTGCCAAAAAGACAGGAATCTATCTTTTTCAAGAAAGATGTAGTAAATTCCTTCTCCTATACAAAGAGCCATCTTGAGCACTGTGGGATGTTGAGAAATGAAAAGGCTGTATTCCCAGCCAGAAAGAGCTTATTACCTAGAAGAGATATCTGACTGCATCTGTGTACAATTCACATGAGAGAATGCAGGAATCCTAAACACTCTAAGTGCTTGGGAGGCGGGACAAGGAAAAGCATCGCTCAGAGTGTGCGCACAAAGAGGAGCACTGAAGATGCCTGATGATGGAGCACTGAAGATACTTCAATGATGGCCAAGATTTGACAAACAACAGAGGCAGAGGGAGAAGGAAGGCATCCTTGCTGCAGAAAGCAAGATGTGCAGAAACGCAGGGATATCTAGAAACAGTAGGAATCCAGTTTCAGTGTGATGTATACCAAGTTTGTGCCCAGAAGCACAGAGGGAGGGAGGGAGGACTGGAAATGCTGGCTGGACTGGTGATAGGATACTCAGGAGCTGAGAAATGGATCTGGGCATGTAACAGGAAAGGGTGAGGCGTGGAGGAGGGAGCTGTGCTGTGGGGTCCTTTGATGATGAAGAGGAAAGGACTAGTCAGACGTTACTAGAATCACATGGCTGGATGCCAGAAGCACCAAGGGTGAGAAGAACTGAAGCAAAGTGGTGGATCTGAGTGGAGAGGAGGAGCCTAAGCAGAGCAGGGAGAGAACAGTCGGAGACAAGCTTTCAAGCCCCGGCGAGGAGTCAGGAGAAACTGAATACAGGAAAGAAGCACGTTAAGGGAAAGGGATCAGTTTAAGACATTTTATGGCTGTCATTCTTTTTAATTTTAAATACCAACCAACTACAGCTAGCTACAAAACATTCAACAAACATATCCTATCACCTTCAGAAGAAAAAAGAAAGGCATATTTCTTAAAAACCAGCAATATGCTATCCCAAATGTCTAAACTTTAAAGTTTAGCACAATTACCGGGTAGAAATGGTGATTTCTTCTTTATCATTTTTTTTTCTTTTTTATCCAGTTTCTCTGGGCTATCCTGTTCTTTTTCTTGCTCTGCGTCTGTAGGGTCCGTCTGCTCATTTGAAACACTGGAAACATCTGGGTTTTGAACCTGTGTTGCAGAAGTCTTGGCATGGCTGGAGTCATTAGGATGTGCTGCAACTGGAATTGAAGACAGCCCACTGTTTTCTAAGGCTTGCTAAGACAGAACAAAACTAAAAGGTTAGAAGATACGATGGCCCAAATCTGCCTACCAAAATCAATCACAAAGATGTCATAAAGCTTTACCTATAGAATTCTAATTCCACTCCAAGAAATAAGAACCTACAATTCCAAGTTATCACTTATAAGTGAGGCTTCCAACCCTTGGAGGCTATAATATCCCATCTGATATCTGACAACTTGTCCCGCCCAAAATATGATAAGCATTTACATTTCTAAATTGAAGAGAATTAAAATCTATTTGACTTTTAGAAATCTTACCTCACACCACTTTAGTTGCCTCTAAATAGATTTGGGAATCCCTATTTTAAGACTCTTGAATTACACTGGGTTAACCTTAAGGTATGGGCTGTGGAATGACACCTTGAGATTCCTCATAGCCCTGGCCAGCCCTTCCCCATAAAAGTATAGGAGGAAGGTTACTTTAACCAAGTAACAGAGAGAGGGGAGAAGAAGGGCCCCCTCTCTTTAGAAGTGAAGAGTGTGTGAAGTAGCGCTGGACTGGAAGGCTGGGAGTCCTGCGCTCCTGCCCTTGCTCCTGTCCGGCATATGCAGGCACTGCCCACATACCCACAAGAGAAGGCCAGGCAGTATGAACGCTTCAGAACTGAACTGTCAACACCCATGACTGCCTCCAAATCATACACCAGAACTCAAGAAAGAATAAAAATACTTTTTCCACCTCTGTCAACACAAATAGATACAACTTCTGAAAAGCGTTGTTCTTTTCAAGTAAATTCACTTTTGGAAAAAAAAAAGTTTGTGATTTAAAAAAAAATGTATAGATTAATAAATCATTTGAGTGCTGCACCATCCATAAGCAATTAAGTAGGCACATTAAGTTTTTTTGGTTCAGACACATTTTTCATGAGGATGCCTTGACTCTGACCAACCCTGCATATTTATTTCTCAATCATCATTCCTGGTTTCTGACCCAGCACGAGCGCATAAGCGTCACGCCGCAGGTAAGCGTGCTTCACCTGTAAAATGTCCTGGTTGATGCCCACTGTGATGCTCAGCTGCTGCCCGGGCTGCGGGGACTGACCCGACTCCACCGGCCCTGGCTCCGAGAGCTCCAGGAGCTGCTGGATGACGTCGCTCACCGCCTGGGAGCTCGGCTGGCTGGAGGCTGACGTGGCTTGGGCTTCCGTCTGTTGAAGAGGTAACGTCTGAAAGAGTGTGGCCTGAGACACAGAGACATTTTCATTAAAAATACAATTTTGCTCTTCAATTTAAAAAGAAAAAGAAAAAACAGGCATACCCTCTTTAAGGGTGTGCACATCTAAGAGTATCCTAAACATAAATTTTAAATACAATGCCTCGCTGATTTTTGTCTTTGGCACGATATTGGCTCTTTAAAGCACATGATAAATTGTTCTAATGCAATTTTTAAAAGTTTTTCCAAGTGGGCAGTAGAGACTCAAGATGGTAGATTGAGCACACAAACTCTCACCTTCCTGTTGGCCCAATAAAACGAAGTGAGGAATTTAAAAAATACTAAGTTATACACTTTTTAAAAGTAAGAAAGAAACCACTCCATTCAAAATAATTCAACAAATTCCTGAAAAAATTATTCCTGCAGGGAGACTGGAGGAAAAATGCTGTAATGCTATAGCCAAGAAAACCTAAGTCAGTGGAAAGGGCTGTGGTGGGAGACGGAGCCAGTCCCATTCCTGCAGGGCTCGGGAATCCGAAACGACGGATCCGAAAGACAATGGACGGCAGGGAAACTACCCTGCATGACACTGTGAGGGTGGGTTTTTGTCGAAACCCGTAGAATGGACAACTCAGAGAGTGAACCCCGATGGAAACGATGGACTTTGGTTAATAATAGTAATATATCCACATTCGTTGACCAGTTGTAACAAATGTACCCGGCCAATGCACCATGTCAGAAATGGGGAAACTGAGCACGGGAGGAGAGTGTATTGGCAGTTCTCTGTACTTTCTGCCAAATTGTCTGTAAACCCAAAACTGCTCTAAAATTCAAGTCTATTGATTTAGAAAATAAGAACAAAAACAGAACAAAAAATATTAGGACTGAAAATAAATGCCCTTGTCACTCATTCAGTGGCAGACAGGCACTTACTCTGAGGCAAAAAAAAAAAAAAAAGGACTCTCTAAATGTCATTTATCTCTAAAAAAGATGAAAAATAATAAATGACCTGGGAAGAACTAGGGCGCCTTTTGTGGCACTGAATTCCCCAGACTAAATGTAAGTCTTTTGTGTCGCCACCAGGGTCCCCTGAAGGGCTGGTTGCCTGGCCACTCATACTCAGGGTGACCCTGGATCAGCAAGCACCATCCACCTGTTAACAGTTCACACACAGGCTACCGCTGCCCCTTCCTGAAACACAAGCAGGCAACGAAAGATGACGAGAC